ATATATATATATATATACAGACGATATTAAAATAACATTGTGTTGGTGGTATTGAAGGAGGTTGGAGGGGGCTGCTTAAAGCTTTTGTTAACTGACAGCTAAGGGACTGCGGGGGTCCTCCTGAACTCCATGCACCCACACGCTCCAGTTAGCAAGTGAAGTGCGAGAGCACGGACAATCGGGACCCTCCCCATCGCTTCCTGAAAACACGCTTCCCAACGTGCCCTCATCCACCCTGGGCCCCAAATCTCCTCCCCTGCTCCCCATGACCCACCCCGTCACACAAAACAAGCCATTAGCTTGATTATATACAACGCTATCGTTCAGCTTTTCTGCGTCATTATTATGCTCATGATACAGTCTCGAACGAGAAGCTATTTGTTGCACGGCTGTTCTTCTTTGTCACGACTTGGATTAAAACCATCTGATGATTCACTCCACTTTGTCCTGCTGGCCTCGTTACCGATGGCAACAAAAGGCATACCGAGTGCTCCTATAATTCTACATTATGCATCAAATGCACACGGACGCTTTCCAAGTGCATTGTAATTCAATGCAAGTGCATTCCTTTATACCTCCATTTTGGAGCGTTGACATAGTCTCCAGAAAGCGTTGCAAGCAGGAATACACGTCTACAAAACAATTTCAATAAAATGCAGTTTGATGCAAACAACGAGCACAACATTTACCACACAGTGGAGTCAAAACCTCTTTCACACAAATTCAAGCTTTCACAAATCTAGCGCATATTGCAGGACTGCTGCACACAAGGTTTCTGCAGAGACGTTAAGACCTTTTTAACACCATATAGAATGTAATTTAACACCCATTTCAAGTTTCATCAGACATGTTGGATCAACTTCAGTCAATAAAATGTTATAAAGTAGCTCAAAAACAACTTGCATGACGAACCACTTAATTAAATATTCTGAAGATTGACCAATTGATTAAATGTCCAATCATTACAACTCCAGATCATACCATCTAAATTACGAAAATATAATGGAAAGCCAGTAGTGATGATATGGCATACAATTTATTATACCGCCTACAATCTTTAACAATTCATTAATTCTCTTCTCAGGCCTTTTAAAAAAAGGAAACACCATGAAACGCCTTTAAGACCTGCAGATACGCGGTGTGTTGAATTATACCACATTGGACTTTGGTTCTCTGCTCAATGGGTGCATGTACAGGCACGACAGAAAGGAGTTTACTCTGGTGGTGAGCAACGCACCGAGTTTGAGGTCTTCCTCTTCTACTTGCACCAAAACCAGAGATGTGCCTATATATAACCTCCTCAGCTGCCACACTACCACACTTGGATACGAGTGTGTCAACATGAAATGCCTGAAGTCATCCTTCCTCCACAACCTGCTTACTTACGACAGCCAAGCCAACGCCACCTACTGAGGGTGTTCAATGAACACTTTGCTGCAACTAACAAATATTCTCATTTCTTGATTAGTAGATAAAATGTTGGTTTAAATGTCCTTAAGCCCAAATTGACATCTTCAAATTGCTTGTTTGTCTGAGCGAACAGTCCAAATCCCAAATATATTCGGTTTACTCTCACATATGAGGAAAAAAAGATTCTCACAACTGAGCAGCTATGAAGTGTTTGGCTGTTTTGCCTTAAAAATAAGAACGACTGAAATGATTAAGTTGATTATCAAAACAGTGTCATGATTATTTTTCCGTCAATCAACTGATGGATAAACGCACAATACGTTTCAGCTCAAACATAATTGCAATTGATCGTGTTTGTTGTTTTTCTTCATTCAGAACCGTCTCAGGAGAGTTTACGAGCACAAACAAAATGGTAACAAGTGAAAGGCAAAGGATACAAATACAACCCGAAAGAACACACAGTGGAAAAGATAATACATGTACGGCTGCAATTTAGGATTGTAGGTTCATTTGCTGATTATTTAATACGATTAACTGTTTAGTCTACGAAAAATCTAAAAAAGAAAAAAAAAAGATGAGAATGTGAAACCAGAGATTGTTTGTCATTTTCTCACAATTTCTGCTTTAAAAATAACAGCTTCCAATATGAAATAATCAGGAGGAAGATCACATGACCATCTAACATTTCAGAGAAATTTAATTAAAGCTACAAACATGCAGAAGAACACTGCATCCATCTAGAAGACATCCCTGTCTTTCCTGAATACGCCCGTCTATCGTTGTCACAGGCATATTGTAATAAAAGTGAACATTTTTTATGCCAATTGTGTGCTTTATACTTGTCTTCAACAGCCTTGCCATGCACTATTGAAAAACGCTTATTTGATCTGAACAGGTATGCGAATCCTTTTGTTTTTAACAGAATAACATGAGACATTTTTTAATCGAATTCCCATAAAGAGACATTCCAAAGTGGCATTTAGTCATCTACTGAAACAGCCCGTCAAGCAAGCTTCCCGTGTAATGTTATGCTTCTGCTCTAAGTGCGACAGAGCTGCAGCTACTCTGAGTCACAGAGGAAGTCAAATTAGCTTTCCCTGATGCAGAAAATGACAGTTGCACTGGAGCCAAACAAGTCTTTTAGCGTGGATACAAATTGACCAACACCATCTTCAAGGAGCAACACAACACAAAGATAATCTCCCCTCCTGTCAATCTACGCTGATCTAATGTCAGATTGTGTGTGATGTACTCACATTTGATGAGAGAGGGTTTTACTACTTGTGCACTGTCGAGCATAGCAATGCTATGCGTGTCCCCGGTAACCACAGTGTTATCAAGCAGAGAGACAGCTTGGCTTAAGCTAAGCATGAGGATGATGGCTTGGCCTGGTGATGAGTCAGAGACCGACAGCACTGAGTGGGGAGCACGCAGACGCCCACAACCTGCAAATCACCTGGATTAAGGTACTACACTGTGAAAAAGGCAGAGCTAGAGGGAGAGATCATTCACAGGCAGGAAATACACCACCACCACCTCCCTTCAGTGTAGAGAAGTATAATTCTTAGCTGTTGCTTCAGGAGCAACCGATATTGACTTCAACTAATGAGTTAAGATCCAATCAGCAAAGCAATGCTGAAAGAACACATATCATGCTGAGATCGTCATCAATCGTTCCCACATTTCACCGCAAATTGAAGTCATTAATTTTCCTCAAAGCTTTTTTTGCACCCGTCTCATGCAGTGGAGTCACGTGCAGATAGATAGATAGAAATTTCTAGCACAAGTTATTACAATTTAAACTGGAACGGGCTCATCTTTGGCTCAATTCACGCCACCCACAGTGAATTGTTGTCCGTCCGGCCGCCCGCCCCCATCTACGCCTTCCCTGTGACAACCTCTGCATTTGTGTCGACTGCTTCAATTCTGAGCACCACTTCAGCAGTTGCACCTAAACAATAAGAACAGATTAAACAAGCTGCTTTGCACACCAGGCCTACATCACATCAGTACACACAACCTTTTGGGCGA